CGGAATATGGGGGGGGGGGGTCGACTGTATATTTTAACTCTGTGAATGCAATGAAGTATAGGTCCTTGGCAGTCAGTCAAAGGGTTAAGTACCTGAATCTAAATTGGTATCAGCATTTTGTCGTCTTACACAACTCAGACAGGGAAAAGGAAGGGGAAATACTATGAACCAATCAGGTGTGCTTTGTGCAAATGTGCTAACATGGAACATGTTGAAAGGAAAAGAGAGCAGAGCGACAGGGAAAGGAGCTATTGGGGCTCATCATAGGCCGGGGAAAAGAAGGTGACCTAACATTATTTCTTAAACCGGAAATTAGCTCTAAATTGAAAAACTTGTGAGCGGTAAGGTAAGAAGCCTTTAATAAGGCATAATGGGGGGAATTTATCAAAACTGGAGCAGACAGAAACTAAAGCAGTTGCCCATGGCAACCAATCAGCTTCTCTCTTCAGTTTGTTCAGTTAAGATTTGGAAATGATAGAGAGAAGCTGATTGGTTGCTGTGCACAGCTGCTCTAGATTTTGTCTACCCCAGCTTTGATAAATCCCCCCCAGTGTGTCTCTTCTGCAAGAAGGATGTCTTACCTTCCTCCTCATGCACAGCTCAGTGTACACTCTTGGCATGAATCAGTGCAGAAATTAATGAACATTCACTCATGCATGTGCACGGGAGTTACATCATCCCAGCTAATCAACATGGCCCAAGATGCTGAATCCGCAAGAGATTGGGAAGAAGACATCGGCACTGGTGATAGACCTTGCGGACGTTGCATTGCTGGGAGGGAGGTGAGTATTGAAGGGTTTGTTCTGCTTTAACTGCAGAAAAGTCAGGGCATCAGCCTAACTGAACTGTCTGGCACAGCTTTTTGAATCACAGGACTGGATGGACAGAAATACAAAGACTTACCTATAACATTCTCTATCTCTTCAGGGATATCGTACTCCTCATGGTCCTCATTGTCAGGGGAGGAGGTTTCCATTGCTTCTTGGGTATCTTCGGAATTCTGGAGCAGGTTGGCAGCCAAACATCTAGATCCCCGCTGATATCTGTATGACACCGGCAAGGCAGCAAATAAAGATCACGTCAGAGCCATGATAATGCAACAGTTTATTATTAACCTAATATTATTATTTCTTCTAAGTGTTAAAAAACAGGATCTTTTTGTACTCACTGTAAACTCCTATTCTCTGCACTCAATGGAGGACACGGCTCTGCTTTACATTATCACCACTGCAGTTGGCCCTGTACCTAGTGGAAATGATCTAAAGCAGAGCTGTGTTCTTCAATAAATAAAAGAGAAAATAGTGTGATTTTGTACTCACCATAAGAGTTGATTGGTGGAGAATCAATCACTATCAAAAAAACAACAACTTTGGAGGTATGAGGACGCAACTTGGATCAGGCCGACTTCAGACAACTCTGCCTACATAGAAAACTCATGCCCAAGAGGAAACATACTCACGGGACTCACAGGGAGCACCACTCAGCTGCTGTGTACTCTTGCCCAGTGCCAGAAACGAGTGCTCTTTCTGCTCCCAATAAAGCACCAACTCCACTACAGCAGGTCCAACTCCCAGCAAGAGGCAGGGACGATTGCAACCATCCTTGGCAGCTGACTTTGCGGCACCCTGCAACTCCAGCCCTCCTGACTCTCCAGTCCCGTTACCTGAGCTTGCCGGTGTGGACTCACTGCCTAGTCTACCATACCTCCCTCCGCATGCCTCCCTGGACATGCACGCTGAGGGAGGGCTGGGAGACCTTTTACCGCAGCTCTCCACTAAGCAGGATTTGGAAGATATGCCTTCTTCTATAGGGGAAGCCTTGAAGAATCAGGATTTGAAAAAAACATGTAACTGGAAGTTTCTCCTACAGAGAATGTTTGCTAAAAGGCAGATTCACTGCTTTATAAATATGCCCCTTAGGGCCTGTAACACCATATGCAGTGCGTTCCGGCCACGCTCTGGCCGTAACGCACTGCATTGCATTGTGGCCGGCTCAGTTTTTCATGGTGCCGTAGCCACGCCCTCCGGCCGCAATGCGATAGGTCCGGTGCGGTCAAAATGCTGCAAGAATGTGGCCGGAACGCACTGCATATGGTGTGCACAGGCCCTTAGTGTCATTATAAACAGGACAAATTATTAGGGATGCACCGATGTCGATGCCGAGTATTTGGGCGAGTACTCATACTCGCCCAAATGCTCCGATGCCTAGACCGATACTTCCAGTATCAGGAAGCCGGGCAGCTCGTCATTACACTTGTGACGAGAGAGCATGGAGCTGGCTTCCCGGGCCAGGAAGCTGGGCAGCCTGTAATGACGCGGCTGCCCGGCTTCCTGATTGGTCAGGAAGCTGGTCAATCAGGAAGCCAGGCACCGTGTAGTGACGCGGCGCCCGGCTTTCTGATTGCTCGGGAAGCCGGCTTCATGCTCCCACGTCTCCTGGCCCAACATCTGAACTGTGCATGCGCCCGCCCCAAGATCCCTTGCGGCCTCCCGAGAAATTTTCAGATGTTCGGACGGGAGCGTGCGGCGGAGACACAGATATATATTAACCCTTTAAAAAAGTTTTTTTTTTTTTATCGTTTTGCATTTATCTACTGCTCGCTAGCAGTAGATATATGCAAAAACAAATAAAGGTTTAATAACCCTTTAAGCAATAACCAAGGTACCTGTGAATAAACAGGTCCATAGTAGAAATGTAAAAATGATTCTGATCCATGAGGGGTATACACGTGCAGTAGCTGAAGTGGCCAGGCTATGAAAATTCTAATCGTTATTGGCCCTGAAGCCAATTCTACCCTGGTATGTGGACCTGGAAACACCCTCCTACGATGTACGCCTTCAATCCCAGACAGCCACAGCCCTACCAAACAGACAGACTATAATTATTTATTAGGTGAAACATTCAGAGCAAACCCCAAATTTCAGCAAGGTGTAAGATGAATCAAAAGGATTTCTGTGAACATGAAAAAGAATACAATAGAGGCGGAAAGATGGAGGGAGAGATGAGAGGGCTATCAGCATGGGAGATCTATGAGCCCGAGTTGTCAGACTGAAACTGCGGGAGGCGGCAGAGAGGGGCCAGATTGTATAGCCGGTGGCCGCTCTTTTCTGCATAGTAATGGGCTGAAGAATGCAGGCCATGCGGGAACCTTATAGCACTGGTGGGCTCCCTCCACACCTGCTGGATGGGAAAGTGTCATCTTCTTTGTGATGCCAGAGGGCCGGTATATGCAGCATTGATTGTGAAGTTGTCAAGCTTGTTTAACCAAGTCACTTCATTTACATTGTCATCTCTATGAGCGCATTACACGGTGGTGACACCTCCCTCTCACTGGGAGTTCTGCTGACTTCTTTTTACGAATCCTCTTCCAAATTTGTTAGACAACATAAAGAAATGTACAAAGGCAGATCTAAACCAAAGTGTATCTAAAGCCCAAACCTTTTTTTTTTTTTTTTTTTTTTATTTTGGATGAAGTATGAAAAAATTAGAATCCTACTCCCCCCATATTTTAATGATTACTGGTCTATTGGATAGAAAATCCAAATTTAGCCCCCTAAACCTAATTAGGCCATATGCACACGGGGCTTTTATGTGCATCTTGGGATTCCTTCAGCCACTTAACCCAATCGAGGTAATGACAGGCTGACAGCGGCCGCATCTGTCCGCATGTCATCATATTCGGAACAAATACCTGTGGGTCGGAATAAATGCTTGACCTGCTTCCAAGGACAAGCATCTATCCCGATCCACAGGCGCACATAAACGCCCCATGTGCATGAGGCCTTACACAGAGACGCCTCTCATAAAATCCCAGAGTAGCCTCCCCTCAAATCTCTCCCACTCCCCTTGGGATAACATGGTTTGAGTCCCACCATGCAATAAATCTCCTAAAAAGAGAATTATCCCTTATGTTAGCACCAAAGTACAGAGCACTGAGAGGCCAATTCTGGATCAATGGGTAGAGATGTCATATGTTTAGGGGTTGAGTAGAAGGTTAAGAGAAACAAACCGTTTTTAACAAAATGGAAAACTTTTAATTATAAATAATCTGATTGAAAATAACACACATATGATTACATACCTCCACTTAGCAACTCTGGTTTTAAGGAATGTGAGTCCTAGACGTTGGACAAGCTTGACTCCCAGCTTGTGAAGGAGATTGTTGTTGCTGTCAGACAGCTTGCAGTTATCAGTGGCAGTGAGGACAGTGGAGGCTACAGAGAGGAAAGACAGGATCAATACCTGCTTGGTTTAAGACCATTTATTTTAATATGAAACATGCATTATAATACAGAACATTTTTAACATTAATTTAGAAAGTAGAAACATCTCTGAGTCAATTCACACATCCAGCAAACCTGCATACACTTATTTCAGTGGTTATCTTCCACCCATTTCATTCAGGTTTTGATTTTTATTTAATGGGAGTCATAAATCAGACAGATCATGGGAAATCACTGTTCACTTTCCATCGTAGGAGGGATGAAAACATTGGCTAAAGTGCGGGAATACTGGACAGCGTGGAGGGAGAATCAGGAACCAGAGAGGGAAGGTGGCACAATAGGAGGGAGAGTGTGGAGATCGGAGGGAGATCTATGGCTACGCCTGGAGGGGGTAAAAAGCTGGATGTGCACAATTGTATTACAAATGTTGTTTCTACACAATTTGGGAGAGTTGTGAATGAATCCAGGGGCACTACAGATATAAAAGAAATACAGTCTGGGGGTTACAGGAAATAAAAAGGGTAATTTCAATGATTCTTACCATATGGCAAACAGTCCTCGCGCTTCCCATGCTTGAAGAGTTGAGCCTATAAACAACAAAAAGGTATTTTTTAGATATCTAAACTCATTACAGTAGACCAATGATTGTTTTGTAGACCCTGTCTTACTTTTTTTTTTTGTATTGAAGAAGTTCATACAAAGAAAAAAGCCCATTTACAAATATCAGATAATACACTTAGAGCAAAATGATGCAAAACTGATATATCAGCTCTGGGCGTATACCCCTAGACTGAATTACACATTTCCCTAGGTCAGTGAGTCCTCTGAATTTCCAGCAACAATCCCATACTGTGGCTACTACAAAGGAGAATGGCACAGCAAAGGTAAGACTTGCTTGGCCTTGGTGAAGGCAAAGCAGACAACTCCAGTTGGTCTCTCCAATGTAATTCCTAAAAGATAAAAGTCACTAATGGAGTGACACAATTATCCAACACTTGCACTAGCCTTAGTCCAGGGGAAGGCAACCCTGGCACTCCAGCTGTGCTGAAACTACAAATCCAAACTACAAGTTCCAAAACAGCTCGCGTGCTAAGGTTGCCTACCCCTGTTTTAGACTGTCAGATCCTTTACAAAGAGGTACAGAGCGTGAGCAATCAGTCCATTCTGGATCAAATCCCTACGCATCTAGGTCCTGCCTGGATCAGACGCGCCAAACGAAAAATAATTCCTCTTTTGCTACAAAAAAATAACAAAAGGTGAACATTCCCCCCTTTTTACACCCCCTTTGCCTGAACCCTTTTCATTTGGCCACCCCAAGTCAACACATCCATGCATACAAGGGACCAATATACCAAATAAACCTGGGAAAACATTTTTAGGCCGACCTTTTGTTATATGTGTAGCATCCTTTAATACAAAGTTTACAAAGCATTCACAATGGAAAGGGAGACTCCGGATACCTGGTACAGTTACAAAGAGACCTGACACTGTCCTGTACTAGCGCTGGCCCATGGAGCAATCATATCACAAATTGTGAGAAACTTTTTGTGCTCTGCACCCCCATCCGTTTTCTTTATTCTGTACACTTGAATTTATTATCATTTCCAAATAAAATTGGATTCAATAAAAAAAAAAAGGCCAAATGGTCACAAATGAGACTTTCCACGATGTTGGAAAACCTCTTTTGGCGGTCACCAAGGCTTCCGTTTCTCACTAGCACTCACTATAGTGCTTCTAAGGCCCGACAGTAACAAATTACACTCTCATCTGTCGCATTGCATGCTTTTGTCGGGGTCTGTATTGCTATTCTTAGCATTTATAGGGATTTTAAACCTTCACATTCCTTCCCACTTCTGGACTGGACATAGTCAAATTTTTCTTCTACAGTAAAAGGTGGGCAAACTCCGTCCCTCCAGCTGTGAGGAAACTATAAATCCCATAAAGCATTGCAAGATTCTAAGAGCCACAGACATGACTTCCAGAGGCAGATGCATGATAGGATTTGTATTTTCAACACAGCGGGAGGGCTGGAGGTTCTTTTTAGCAGGATTGGTACCTGTAAGCGCAAAGTGATGCTGTATAAGGGGATTATACAGCATCACTTTGCACTTACAGGTACCAATCCTGCTAAAAAGAAAGCTTCCTTTCCGTACCCCAGAATACGAGCCAGCTCGACTGGGTGCTCTGCGCAGGATTCCATTACATCTCTGTGTTGTATCACAGTACAGCAAAACTGAACCAAAGGAAAATGGAATGGCAAGGCTAAAAATAACGAGTGAGACAGAATAAGTGATATAAAACTGGAGGAGCACCTCTACAAGTCATCTGGAGATGGGAACCACACACCCCAGGATTTTCCATTGCCTGTGACATAAGGTGTGATTTCCTCATATCACGACATGCAATGATTCAGCATTTCCACCCGTAACATTTACCGCATAGCTGCTCTCATTATTTACATACCAGAGCCGGTACAGTTGCGGCATACTTTTATAATTGAAGGCAATGCAAAGGGTTGACCTAATTTGCTCTTAAGACGTGCAATTAAGCATAACCTGGCCTGATGCCACCTGCCAAGATGACTTTCCAAGTGTTAATGAAACCTACGCTGTCTCTGCTGCATTCTAAAGACATGAATACCCAGCTGAGAAAAGTCCCAAAATACCAAAAGAAAAATCATAAAACATAAATTGTGCACAACTGCCGTTGCGCAAACGCACACGGGCATGCCGAGAGAATGTGCACTGCAATATATTCTGCCTACAATTAGGGGGGTGGTGACTGAGGTTTGGAGCTCTCCTCACCGGTGGCCATCGGCTACAGGGGTCTATGTCCCCTCCAATCACCTCAGGAGAGCAGTGGGCATCAGAGGGTACACAGAACCCATGAAACACTGGCTCCCAGTGGGTAGAGATGCAAAATCAACCAATTGATAATGAGAATCGTTGACAATGATTCTCATTATCGATTAAATTGATTAGTTGTTGCAGCCCTACTAAACACACAGATGCAATACAAGTAAAGGAGCTTTTCCACCTGGCAAATGGTATCTATTTGTGCCTATAAAGTCCTAAGATTTACACCGCTCTAGCACACAGGACAGCCAGGCTGGTAAGCTGACTTTTATCTACTGCAGTTAGGAAATACAACTAGGTCACTTCTCTGTCTTCAGCCTGTGATTGGATAGTGAAGGATCAGTGTACCAAGTAGTGAGTGCCCTATCTGCATCTCTCCCCCTAAATGACCATATACAATTACCACAAGAAAATATATAGGGTTTGCGGAGAGATGTGAATGACCAAGACTGAGTAGTTATCTAAAATTGTTTGCAAATTATATAAACAGAATTTATAAATATACATTAAAATCCAGGACTATTCATGTATCCTATGTTTCCCGCATGAACATTAACGTGCATATATTCAATATGTGATTTCAAGTATATCTCAATACAGTCAGAATTATCACATCATTATCCTCATGATAATAGTAAAACATTAATATAGTTAGCCAAGGTAGTGATTTATCTTGGTTTGTCCCGACGCGTTTCGCCGGAGGCTTCCTCAGGGGACTTGTGTAAATTGATCATGCACGGTCAGTACGGGAAGTACAGGAGATGTAAGGAGGGTCGGAAAGATGAAATGTTGAGGACTGGAAAATTCCAGCCACCTGACCCCGTCCTTTGTCACACCTGGGGCCTCAAGAGTACATAGAGGGATATGACCCCAGTTTTCTTCCAGTGGCTTGCCCGAACCATCCAGCACATATGCAGAGGTTCTGATGAAGCCTAGTTAGATATTTTAGTTCAGGTGATTGCTCCCCCTGCTGGTGTTGTAACTTTCTCAGCCTGTCCGGGAGGTGATCTCCAAGATGGAGGAACCATAGCAGAACGATCATTTCTCCCCTTCTCTCTCCTTTTGTCAGCATGTTTCCTGTCTGTATATTTGCACGCACTACATGCACTGACTGTCTCCAGGTGCATTGTGGTAGCCTTCAACATGGGTTTATTGGCTTGTTTGTTGGAACGCCATTCTAAAAAAAAGCCACCAAACACATTGCTGTGCATTACCGTGCCTTGTAGGAACACCAGACGCCATTCTAAATAAAAGCCACCAAAAACAGTGTGATGCATTACCGTCCCTTGTAGGAACACCAGGCGCCATTCTATATAAAAGCCACTAAAAACAGTGTTGTGCATTACCGTGCCTTGTAGGACCAGACGCCATTCCAAATAAAAGCCACCAAACACAGCGCGATGCATTACCGTGCCATGTAGGAACACCAGATGCCATTCCAAATAAAAGCCACCAAACAGCGCGATGCATTACCGTGCCTTGTAGGACCAGACGCCATTCCAAATAAAAGCCACCAAACAGCGCGATGCATTACCGTGCCTTGTAGGAACACCAGATGCCATTCCAAATAAAAGCCACCAAACAGCGCGATGCATTACTGTGCCTTGTGGGAACACCAGATGCCATGCCAAATAAAAGCCACCAAACAGCGCGATGCATTACCGTGCCTTGTGGGAACACCAGACACCATTCTAAATAAAAGCCACCAAACACAGTGCTGTGCATTACCGTGCCTTGTAGGAACACCAGATGCCATTCCAAATAAAAGCCACCAAACAGCGCGATGCATTACCGTGCCTTGTGGGAACACCAGACACCATTCTAAATAAAAGCCACCAAACACAGCGCGATGCATTACCGTGCCTTGTAGTAACACCAGACATAGGTCTGACAGAGGCTTAAATAATTGTACATAAAACTCAACTGAATTCATTGGTTTAGAATTTATCTTCGCCTGGAGTTCACCTTTAAGCATGATAGGCAGGATAATGAACCAACCGCTTTCACAGAAATAGGGTAAGGGGACCAGGGGCTAAGGTTTGCATGTCAATATCCCCAGGATTCAGGGGTCACAGGGCATTGTAAAAGACGGTATAGGCAATGTGCAAGTAGCTGAAGGTTGGCTTTTTATTATTGCTGCTTTACAACATTTTGTTGGATGCAAATGTTCAAGATGACAGATTGAGACCAGATCCAGACTCCAACATGACACAATCATTGCAAACAATGATCAGATATTTTGCATCAAGTGTGTTGCACAGCCAGCTATCAGGTCAGCATTGTGGCAGGGCTCTATCTGCCTAATTCCTGATAATTACAAGTAAACAAAATACTATATTTAGCCCCAGCTTACAGCAATTAGGCATAAATCACCAGCCCACCTTTCTAGTTTTCCTGACAATTCACTAAATGGCTTGACTAATGCACACAATTCATGGACAGCCCTTCACAGCTTCCCTCACAGCTCATCACAAGCCTTCATGGGTGACTCAGGAATCTTTTTATAGGAGAAGGTGATTTTATTTAATATTAGCAAACAGAGAGATTTCTAAGAGAATAGAAACAAATGACAAATATTTAGCGCAGAGCGATCCAGCCTATGGAAGCGCAGACCAAAACTCAGAGCTCCTGGGTTCTGTGCCAAGAATAAATTTGATGCGATAACCTGGAGGCTAGTCACCTGCTCTATTCCAAATCGAAGTGCCAAAATAGATTGAAAACAACCAAAGAAC